GGGGACAGGATTGTAGTTAATCATTTGGAACATATGGAGAAAGGGAAAAAGATGTTAATGTTGTCAGTATTGTGTAATTGTAAATATTTTGAAATCTAACGTAAATTGTTGCAAATGAAATAAACAGTTCAAAGATTTAGATTTCGTGCGACCAGAACTGGTTTTATCTTCCTTAGTAACAAGCATACGTAAACATTTAAATACATGTACCAGGGATTCGTAAATACGCTGCAACGTTTAAACCTATATGGTCAAAATGGGAAAAATAGTAGCCAAGGTCATCTAAGGTCAATTTTGTGTGAGGGAGTTTGGACTTTAGTTTCTTAATAACTTCTTAATTTGTGAACAGGGAAAATTTAAAATATATTAAGTATAATCTATTAATCATGTCACTGATTACTGAGCTGATGAAAACCTCGGAGACTAACAGTCCACTAGCAGCGGTATCGACCCAGTGCTAGTAAATGAAATAAAAACGTTATAACCAAATCGAGGTGACGTAAAGTGGTAGTCTTAATCTACATGTATTTGGAAAACTTACACATAAAGTATTACTTTAAATAAATCCATTATATCTTGTAAACGCCATACTATTAATGAATATATAAAACTACAATTCAATGTATTCAAACTTTTACTTATATAAAGAATGAGAAGATATGACAAGATTTCCAAATGAGACGCCACTAGAGAACAAATAAAGTAGAAGGTAGCAACTATAAGATCACCGCACAGCCTTCACCAATGCTTACATAACCGATTATAGTAGTTTTTTTATAAGATATGTTTGATGAACGAACTATCATTACAGATACGGCTATTTTCAAGTTCGAATTAGCTGCGCATTTCAACCACTTCTTTGTTAATTGATTCCTTTGTCATTGACTATGATCCGGTTGCGCTCACATAAATGTAAATATCCGAGATATCTTACAAAAAAATCAGGTACTGGGAATGTAAAATTATAATCTGACATAATCATAAGCAATAGATATGGTTTCAGTAGCCTAAAATCTTCAAAAACAAAGCATGTTCAAAACACAAAGATAGAATTTAAGTACGGCTATTTATCGAATTTCTATCGGGTTTCAAATATTACGTAATTTACAGACTTTTTTTAATTTTCTGTTTAATAATGAACATGTTTGCATGCCGGAACTCTAGTGTCGGAAATCCGTAAATCAATCCATATGCAGGTACCTCATAATTTAGGATCGTAAAGTGTACAAGTTGTCATATTAGGACTTACACACGTATATTTTAAAATATATTCCTATTTTCATTCATTGGTTGTAACCTTTCACATTAACGTAAATCAGATACATAAATGTATTGCATTTTGATCGTACCCTTTTAATAGTGGTTGTATCACAGTACTTGTTCCTAGTCGAATTGTACCCCGGGGACAGAAAGTCCACAAGCAACTGTACCGACCCAATGGAGGCAATTTTAACGACCTATTGATTGATTGACTTGTGGTGTTTAAACCACTTTCAGTACTGTTTGCTATATATCGTGGCGTCCAGCTTTTATTGATGGAGGAAGAGGGAGAGACCACTGAGCTTTGGCAGGAAATTAGGCAGTCCTAGTCAATTAAGATTGTGCCGTGTGCGGTTTCAAACTCACAACCTCAGTGTTGACAGGCTAGTTATACAGTATATGAAATAATTAGACAAATTGGCCACCGAGGCCCATTGTAAAGAATGAAAACGATTACCAACTATTCCAAATCACAAATTCATACATTGAATTTGCATCATCGGTTTTCTCTTGACCAATCGGAACATTCTTATTATCCTGGCCCAATAAATATTAAAGACTAGAATTTACATTAAATGGCCTCATCATCTCGTGAAAAATGATAATACGGCTCTCATTAATTTTGAAATTCCAATTTCACATACTGACATACACGTTTGCGAGGACAACCAGATCATACCGTTTATTTCACGATTTGTCTGATTTTCAGTAAGTTTACAAATATGGGTTAAAATATTTGAAAAAAACGAGCCGTTCAATTAGTTTTGTCAATGACAAGTCTTTATGTAGACTAAACACACCTCTGGCCAATTAGCTTGTTAGCCAGCTGGTATCTTTTATGAGTTTTGTAAGTTCTTAAATGTCCCTGATTTTTTCATAAAAAAAGTGTAGTTACAAGTAATACAATGATTAACGCAAAACAAATATGTAACCAGAAAATGTATCTTCAATCTGAATATCATTACCACAGAATTAAAGATAAACCAATACACTCTAATGCCTTTAACTGATAACATTAAAAGATTAACTGACCAAATACTAATAGAATTAATCCAATTTTGCCCGACAATGTAACTTGCTCCCATCATATTTACCATGTTTTTATAGGCTGATTTATCCCAAAGCCGAGAATATGGTTCCACTATAGCTTGTCATATGTAAAAACAAATTAATGATAAAAAATAAAAAATCATTTAATTAATTAATTATTTCCATAAAGTTCCATTAATATATAAAATGATCAATTGACTTTGCAAAATCGAAATAAGGGATGAACAATTATTAAGATAAAATTTGATACTAAAATACATAAGATTAATTTATTCATACTTGGAAAATACGATAAATAAATTACCATATTTTCAAAAGTTTTACAGAATAAATATTCCAGTTACTATGCGGGGAAATGCCGTAAAGGATTTTGACTTTTGTATAGCTTGCAACTGGATTGAGTTAAGAGTTTAAAGTTTATGCGGGCACAGTAAATGTAATAGAGAAACATATTTGTTTACTTGTATTAGTGTTTCCATATACCCTTTTGATTCAGGGGTATGTTATGAACTTATAGATTTGTCCCGTATTATATATCATGGCACATGCACAAAACTGGCAAGTTCCAGTGAAAACAATGCGATCCTCTCTCCACGTTACTTTATGTGGATCGATATAGCACCGCGATATTCAAATTAGCCGATTCCAAACCCATCTTTCCCGCATATTTATACCAAAAAAGTTACATAATTATGTATCACAGCACATATCCCATGTACTTATTCATCAGACTCTTGTTAGTGTAAGAGTCTTTTGCGAAATGAACAACCAGACCATCTAACGTCTATCAAAGTTGTAAGTATTGTAAGAAAAAGAAGTAGATGTAACATTTCCTTCAAAAAGACTTTAGTCCCTCTTTTAATATAACTTGATAGTGGCGTGGCGTTATCGGTTTTCGCTATACAAAAACTGCTTAAGAAATGTTTATTCAGAAGTCGAAGAATCAATATAGCTGGCAAAGTCCCCATAGCACAAGCTCTAAATTTCTTTTTATCTATATATGTTGTTAATGAATTCAACAAAACGACCAAATGTATAATGCTCATTCAGCAACAACAAATTCTCAAAGGAGAAATGATAAAAAATAAATTTAAACTTGACTGTTTACGTTTTTAGCGAAATTACCACGAAATATTGGGCGAACTTCTGTTTCTTTATAATTATCCTTATCATTAAAAGATTTAACAATACAAAGTGGGAAATATAAAACTTTTCTAGCAAAAGAAGGAACGACATCTCAATTGCTCAGAGACAAAGAAAGTAGAGAAAAATAACAAAGGAGCAACATGGACCCATACGAAACTGGTTTATCGCAGGATTTCCGGAAAAGTCAACAGTTCTATAGGTTGCACTTTGTAAATACAGCTGTTTCACAAACCACGGCTCTTTTGGGGAGATATATAATATTCGTAGATATTTTGTTTTGTTTACCTATGGTTCCCGGATATGATCTCTATGTTTCATCTCGTAGAGACATAACTTGGGAATGTTACCAGTATAAATACACACGGATAGCAGCTAAATTGAATTTTGCGGCAGACCCAAAGTGAAGGGCGGGGTAGTACAGAATTTTAGTTTAAACTCTTTGAAGTTCGAGGCATATAAATGTTAAAAATATGCCGCAGAGACCTATGTTTTGACCTTTGAAAAAAAATAGCAGTGCATATAAACTTTCCATTCTAAGATATATTTTTTTACGAAACTTTATAGTAAAAGTGGCATTGTTTTAGCCGTATAAGGAGTTCCTATGGTAAATTGCATTGTCTATTTTCACAGAAGTGATACCTGTAATAACTTGTGATACGACGTCAATAAAGAAAGAGTGGGATTGTGACAAAGGGATTTAATTAGTGAGTATTTGTGATACATATATTGTGTAACTGTTATTTAAGTTCAGGTGAATCTTCTGTCGAAGAAACACTTTCAGCTAACCTTGTTTTTAACGACCCTCAATGCTACATAAAATGGAAAGTTCACTATGGGAAATTTTAATAAGTTTGACTTGATGTAAAAGACTTTTTTCGGCAGTGCAATTTAGTTCATGTTTTTATCAATTGATAGATTAATGATACTTAAGTTACGTCTTATTTGGGGCTTAATACCACTACTGCTTACAAAAGAATTTCGAAAATCGTAAACTTCATAATAGGTAGAAAACATGGCAATACTATCAAGCTCAATCAAAACATAATTATCACGTCTCGTTTGTCATAACCTTGTGAGAAGACTGCCAATAGTACATTTACTGATAGTCCATACAGAGCTACAACTATTTAAATTATTTCCAGATTATTTCACGAAATCCAAGTATTTCTAAATTCATTTATAATGTAATTAGTATGTTCCAGTATAAAATTTTCCTCATATATTTCATACTTTAGATCATAAATGTGTGACACGTGCCCTTATGACACATTTATGTTTAATAAATAGCTGCGAGACTCAGAAATATCCTATTTGTGATAGCGAAACTATCTTCTACAAATTTTGGAAATTCATAAGAAATGAAAATCATATAGTCCCTAGATATTAATTGTAACTATTGACTTGCATTTCATCTTTTATATTAAGTAATATTTTATTGCTATTTCCTGTATCATAGTCTCCATTCTATATTAAATGATCGTTCATTACGTTTAAGCAATAAATGCTACATAACAACTATAATATTTCATAAGCTGTTTACTTACTTTTAACAAAAAAGTACTCTCTGGTGAATCTGTTATTAATTCCTGAATATACAGATAATTTTCCCAATACAGACTTCAAAACGTTTTCTGTAATCGTAAAATTTATAAGAGTTCCGTCAAAGCACAAAAGGTTCTTTTTATCTGTTGGCACTGAAGAAGGGTCACAGTTTGTAATAACATCAGCCAGAGCAGTTGCTTCCCTTTTGTGTCCATTTTCTGTGCATGTTGCTTTAATTATTAAATCATTTATTCCTAAAGCAAATAAAAGGTCATTTTTACCAATTCAAGACACAAATATTCTAAATTATACATCTTTAACAGTCTATCAGTATATATTAATTGGGTTAACACTATAAGATCTTTATTCTTTAGTCGTCGTACAGTATTTTGTTTTTTAAACCAAATTGCTAACTTTGAATGAGATTCGTTTATACATTTTAACATATCACTCACTTGGGTGAAAAACTTTTTAACAACTTAAGGTGGTACCCAACACCTTGAGTAATATTAATTTGGCTCGTTTAATTTTCATAAAATGTTTACTTTGACCCTTTGACAAAAATATAAAAATTTCAAAAAATTTGAACCAACCACTTTATCAGAAAAATTTCATTGGTTATATAGCAGTTTGACAAACACTAATTTTGATCATTGAGAAGCTTAATATTTCCTTAACAATACAACTTAATTAAAACGTTTAGCTGATTTTTACAGAGTTATCTCCCTGTAGTGTTAGGTACCACCTTAATATGCCTGTTATCTCAAAATACCAGAAACCAAACAAAACAACAGGACGTATGACTTGTGTATGGAATGGATTAACTTAGTACGATTTGTTTTCTACCTAAATAAAGTAAGTTTTTAAGAAGTGCGACATAGTATTATATTACATGATTTATACCATAAAGATCTGCGAAAAAAGTTCCTAACCTTTACATAGGTGAAAATTAAAATAACAAAAATATCGAACTCCAAGGAGAATTCAAAACGGAAAGTCCCTTATCAAATGGCAAAATAAAAATCTCAAAAACATCGAAACGAAAGGAAAACAACTGTCATATTCCTGACTTGGTACAGGCATTTCTTTATGTAGTTCCTTATCACTTATTGTATCGTTACTGGACATTGTCTGAAAACTGTATCCTACACTAATGCATGCAAGAGAAATACTGTTTCTTGTAGCAAGAAGAAAATATATCATCTATTCTGTATCGGAACAACCGAAGTAAGACGCCTGAATGTATCTAATAAAGGACATCAATATCAAAGCTATATAAATAGTCAATTATTTTTTCGTTCGGTACTTTTTTCTTCAACATAGATATACATGTTTTTCTTTTTAAATCTTATATTTAACTAGCGTTAAGCGACACTAGCAAAAGGTGGATGTAAAGTCCAAATCCGCAATTAGTTATACTATTATTGCTATTGATGTTTGTTCTTGTATATGTCTTTTACCTTTTGCTTCCTTAATATATATCTTTAAGTTAGAATATTGTATCAAATTGACAATCTTCATCTTTTTTATAGGAATGCATGAACATAATTACCTTGTTTGGCATGAAATGCAGTCACCAAACCATTTGAATCTATGGTGAAAGCATTACGGGAAACAGTATATTTCAGAGATCCTGGAACACACAGAGAACTGTCTACTAGAACCTGATTTGAAACGGTAGGACACAACTTGTATCTGTATTGCTTAAAGTACAAACACTGAGCACCTGCAAATAAACAAGAATCGATACAAATTTGTAACATTCATCTGTCTGAATTAGGAAGTATTACATTAGTTTCCTGCACTGAATAGCTGGAGTGCAGATATTATAGTTCTGTTAAAGGAATCAGGTCTGTAAAGTCGTAAATTATGATTTGTATTTTGTGATTAAATAATATGAAACAAATTTGACCCATGTGCAATTTTACAATATGACTGACATTCCATATTGTACATACGACTGAAAAAATATTTAAGAAATGACTGTAACATATAAAATGTTAACACGATACTTAACTCGACATATTAAGATCAATTTATAGAGCACTTATTTTCGAGCGATCTTAATAATCCAGACAATTAAAGAACAAATAATTTGATCTTTAGGGCAAAGTCCTTTAATCATGTATGCAATCAAAGCTTATATAATGACTCTTGATAGCACATATAAAACCATCAAAGGCATCCGAAGCATCATCTGATGAAATATTTATTGTCCTAAACACATTAAAAGATCAATGAATGTTCATCATTAATGATGAAGATAGAACTTCTTCTTTCCGATATCGAGGGAAAAGCATGCTTAAATAACAGTGATTAGTATTTTTTAGAGTTTGAGGTTTCATTTCGAAGGATTTTAAAAATTCTAGAGGATCTTTGAGTAGTTGTAAAACGTACAATTTATATAAAAAAGAAAGTTGATATAACAAAAAAAACTCATTAAAGTTGAATGATCGAGTAAAATCAATAAAATTTAAAAAGTTCAGATAGTTCTTTAAGTGTAAGAGAAATAAACGACAGAAACATTATCCATGGTGTTTTTTTTACTTATTTAATTTTTTGTAAAGTAAATAATAATCTGTAATTATATTTTTGGATTATGAAGTGGAATTTTTAATAGAATTATCAAGTATAACAGTCCAGTTTTTTGACAAGTTATCCATAATCTCAACAACGGAGTCACATAAATAGTGTACAAATCAGTATGACATTCATTACATTCTTACACAGTTATTAAAAAACGTTGTACGTTTCACTCGTGCATGTTAACACAATACAGACTTTATTAACAGGGATCTGGGCATTACACTTAAACTGCTCTAACACAGTTACGAGGCAGAATAACTGAAATCGACTCTGCATTTTTATGCACCCGTCCTAAGTCAGGAGCATGTTGTTCAGTGGTTGTCGTTTGTTGGTGTGGTTCATAAGTGTTTCTCGTTTCTCATTTTTTATATAGATTAGACCGTTGGTTTTCATGTTTGAATTGGTTTACACTTGTCTTTTTGGGGCCCTTTATAGCTTGCTGTTCGGTACGAGACAAGGCTCCGTGTTGAAGGCCTTACTTTGACCTATAATTGTTTACTTTTTACACATTGTGACTTAGATGGAGAGTTGTCTCATTGGCACTCATACCACATCTTCTGATTTATATCTACATACGTGTTATGGTCACCATCACGAATTGATTAACAGATACTATATGTCTCTGTCTTAACTCACTAGAGACATGTTTTTGCAATCTTTGATCTTAAGATACAAAAATAGTCGTATAAATTGCAATTTTACAGATTGTATCCTATTTTTAATTGTGACATTTTGGCTGTGGCTAAAGGTGGACTATGCATGCATAAATGTAACAAGAGACGCTTACCCTGTCAACGCACATGGGCTCGCTTCTTTTGGGGTTCATGTGTTTACCTCTGTTTGTGTTAGTTACCATGATTTATCTTCCTAATAATTTTATGAGATTTAACATTGGTAAACTACTGTTGCCTTAGTTTAATTGTACTTCATTGAGTTTAAAAACGTAATGATACAAAACAAAATTGAATTAATGTATGTTTTCGGTAAACAAAAAAAAAATGAACACAAAGGGATTAAAATCCATACATTTATTATTATACAAAACATGTGTGAAGTCCATTGGAATCGTTTAATCTTAGTACTACAGAGTTAGCCATTTTAAAAGTAGGTAACTAGGTCAATAGAATATTTAATGGAAGCATAAAACATTTGATTCATTATTAAAGTGTCTATATTAAAATTGAGAATGGAAATGGGGAATGTGTCAAAGAGACAACAAACCGACCATAGAGCAGACAACAGCCGAAGGCCACCAATGGGTCTTCAATGCAGCGAGAAACTCCCGCACCCGGAGGCGTTCTTCAGCTGGCCCCATAACAAATATGTAAACTAGTTCAGTGATAATGGACGTCATACTAAACTCCAAATTATACACAAGAAAATAAAATTAAAAATGATACAAGACTAACAAAGGCCAGAGGCTCCTGACTTGGGACAGGCGCAAAAATGCGGCGGGGTTAAACATGTTTTTTGAGATCTCAACCCTCCCCCTATACCTCTAGCCCATGTAGAAAAAAAACGTACAACAGTAGGCACAGTAAAACTCAGTTCAAGAGAAGTCCGAGTCCGATGTCAGAATGGGAAACAAAAGAAAATAAACAAAATGACAATAATACATAAATAACAACAGACTACTAGCAGTTACTGACATGCCAGCTCCAGAACTCAATTAAACTGATTGAAAGATTATGTCTTCATCATATGAATATCAGGCACAAACACTCCTGTTAGGGGTTTAGTATTATACTATCATAAAATATAGGCGAAGAACATAACCCGTGTCATGCCAACAACTGGTTTTAGAATAAATATGTTTAATTCCGATGCAAAGACCCTATAAGTGAATAAATATTAAAGCCAAAATATGCATCTTTAATGAACTGGCAACAGTATCGTAACTATATCCCTTCTTAATAAGTCTGTTTAAAGGTTTTGTAAGCTTTTGAGGTGAATACTGACATTTTTGTGCTTTGTAAAGAATATTACCATAAAAGATTGGATGTGAAATACCCGAACGTATAATATGTCTGCATGTTGAGTTATATTTACGAATGATGTCCTTATCCCGATGATAAAATTTAGTAAATGTTTTGACTAGTTTATGATATCGAAAACCCTGGTGTAATAATTTTTCAGTAATACATAAATTTCTCTCGCTAAAATCTAATACGTTGTTACATACACGAGCGAATCGTACAAGTTGAGATATATAAACACCATAAGATGGTGACAAGGGAACGTCACCATCTAAAAAACGCATATATTAATCTACCATAACAATGAGTAATAAATAAATGCATAGACAGATTTATTGCGTCTTTACAACATGCTGCAGCAGTAGGTCCATCAAGTAAGAAAAAAAGTAGGTTACTTACAATTTAATGAATTATGGGAATGTTACCGTACGAACTGAAATCGATTTCTGGTTCATACTTGTATATTACTTAACCATGCGTTTATTCTACTAGATAAACAAACTATCGCAGTCAGTGCTTCTGAGCCGATTTAAATTAGTAGGTAATAAAAGTCAAGTAAATGAAAATAATACTTAATGAATTGTATTCGTCCGAAACTCTTTTCTGATATACCTTCGTCAGGAACGCTTAAACTTCGTACTATATTTGGCCTGTTTAACTTTTTTTATTTGCGCGTCACTGATGAGTCTTCTGTAGACAAAACGCGCGTCTGATGTACGAAATTTGAATCCTGGTATCTATGATGAGTTTATTTAACCCAAAAAAATTGAAAGTCAAGGATGACTGTATAAATATACTAATACATGTCACTACTAATTCTTCACTTGAATTGAGGTCTGTATTATAAACCAGTCAAATATTAACTGATTGTTTGTCCTAATGGCAAATTAAAAAAAAAATTTGTTTTAGCAATAGTTCTTATAAAAATGAGAGGTGTTCCAAACTAAATGCAAAGGTGGTGTACTTAGTTTACTAAATCTAAGATGAAGTCAATCGAGCCAAATTGTTTCACCCCAGCAACATTGTGTTCAGTAAGTTATCGTTTTTTTAGTTTTCAATATATTCAAAATTATCTAAAGAGGCTTGTTTAACAGATTTAGTGTTTAACTTGTAAGGTCAAATACTGCTACGGTCAAACTATTTTTATATTTGTAGATTTCACGGCACATTCGTCGAAATTAAATACAGCATTAGGGTCAATAGGCACTGTACGACAAACTCTAAATTTTCCTTGAAATTCATTCACTGATTTTATAGCGAGACATGAAAATAAGAAAGGTGTATAAACCAGCAGACTTGTTGTGGTCTTAATATATGTAACATTTCTGCATGTTGCAATTCGATTGTCGGGCAATTTACGTTATTTTTTGTTAGATTTCTTGGCCAGATATATTTTATAATTAATTTTGCTGATATTACCCTGCAGCTGAGCTATTCAATGCACACATGTACAATGTAGCATGATGATGGCCATCTAGAAAACAATTCCGCTAAGACCGACGGTATGGAATGTATTTGATTTTCAGTATCAAACGCCAAATGAAAAGTGAATTTAACATTTTTTCTATGTTGAACAATGTATAACTCTAATAGGGGTCAACCAAACAAACTCACTGTAGTCTTGAGATGAAAAACAGCAAATACTATTCCTTTGCTGCTTTTCATGTGCGTGTAGTGATTTTGTGTCATGAATTGCTTCCTTTCCATTGTACGCGGGACTACATTTTGTAGTCTTCAGAATAATTAACAATCAAATATATTTCTCGCTGTGTTGAAGACCCATTGGTGGCTTCGCTGTGTTTTTTACTCTTTGGTCAGGTTGTTGTCTCTTTGACACAATTCCATTCTCTATTTTATATCATTACAAAAATCAAAACTTTGGAGTACATTAATGAAATTCTAAGTCATACAATGAAAGATTTTCATGGAGATATGTTCAGCTCTTTTTTTCTAGCATATTTACATATTATTTTTTCAACATCTGTAAAGTTTGCCTGTATTATCTAATTAAAAGAGAAATTTCAAAGATAAATTAGACGCCATCGAAATATACATATCAAAAACTCTAGTTTCCATTAGGATAACATTTCACAAAGAATATACGCGCACCCGTTATAGATGTTTAATGACTATTATAATACCTATAATTGTATAAATAGGAAAC